AAAACCTGCAGCCACCGCGCGTCGCGCGCCCACGCGCACGCACACGCGCGAAACCACCCGAAACACCGTCGATTTCCGCGTGCGCGCGGCTTCACCGTCCGCTCGCTCGCTTTGCTCACGTGGTGGTGGCGGCGGCTTGGTCAGATGAGCGCGTTTCGAGCGGGTGCGCGCGCGCGGGTGGGCACGCACAAGATCGCTTGTGTTTTGTATTGTAGCGTTGTTTACCGTCTCAGCTCAGCGCAGCGCAGCTCAGCTCGCGTATACGAGCAGGTGAAACACATGTGGCGGCAATGCTCTGTAGGCGGTGTGTCCAGTGGGGTGGGGGGGGGGGGGGGTCCGAGACCGCTTCACTCGGCGCCATGACTTGCTGTCCAGGTCACAGTCTCATCTCTGGTCCCTGCAACAGAAGTGGGGAGGGGGGGAGAGGGAAAGGTCTTTCGTCAGTTCAGTTTTCTTTCTTTAAGAGCAGGTGCAATAGAAAACTATAAACCAGCTGTAAACATATTTTAAACAGATAAATAAGAAGAGAGAAGGGCAGCGGGCTATAAATTTGTAGCCAGCTGTAGCACGGACTCCAAGACACAGTGTGTGTATAACAGGTGAGACCATATATTAATAGTGTAGCATGTAATTATTATATAAATGAGTTATTAGATTAGCTATAGATGAATTGGAGCTAATAGTTGGCTACACTATTAAACTTGCCCTAACTAGCCGTCCAGAACTGTCATGCAGGGCATACTACAGCAGTACAGTACAGCCTACGTGTACATGGCACTATGATGCAGGACATGGTACACGGTACAGACTACATGTAATGATGTAGTACGAGGGAGTTATATCTCTTCCTTCTTTTTTTTCTTTTAGATTACCTGAGAATGGTGGAGTGAGCATATATATGCACGTAATGCGCGATTTTTCAGGACTTCTGCAGGAGTCTTCTCTGTCTGTCTCTCATTGCATTAATTAACCCCTTTTGCCAAAGAAAGAGGAGGTATTCGAAGTGTAAAAGCCAATCAACTGAGCAACTCCAAAGTACACCTCGGCTGGCTGCTGAAGGTGGAGATACGGGGATACGCTATCAGGCTGGCATTACACAAAAAAAAAAGTTCATTCCTTCAGTCCCCCTAGTTAGAATCTTGTTTTTCCTTAAAGCATGCCCAATAGACTTGGTAATGAAATCCAATCATAAAATTAGGGAACATAAATTAGGGAACATTCGTTAGAAAAATTTGATCCAACAGTCTCCCTACCCTCAGGCTCAATAGTTAGTATTCCCAAATCCTAGTTTCTCGTTCTGCCTCCTCGCGTGCATCGGACGGAATGTTTCCGCGGCGCTCCTCCTCTTTGCGCGCTCACAAGTTGCCGGTTCAATCCATTCCGCTGTCGGTGTCCTCTTCCTAGCAGGTGGCTAGGTTTGGCTAGGGCACCACAAATCAGAGTGTGTTTGGTTCACGTTAAAATTAAAAGTTTGGTTGAAATTGAAACGATGTGACGGAAAAGTTGGAAGTTTATGTGTGTAGGAAATTTTTGATGTGATGAAAAATTTGAAAGTTTTAAAAAATAATTTGTAACTAAACAACTCGGCCCAGTGGAATAGGCTACGGATTTACCTCGTTGATGAAACGAATTGCTACAGCATAGGCTCAGCGTTTCTTTTTTAAGAAATCGAAGACAAGAACAAATAGTACGACCACTCTTTGGCGTTGAGGATGGCGCTGCCTGTGTGGGCAGGAAGGGGAAGATAGGCGTGCATACATGAGATGAGGAAGAAGCTGATCAACAACCTGGTCCCCACCAATTACTTATGTGGCAAACCAACAAACATATTGGGATTTAAATTTTGGGTTTCTTTTGGAGGTAGGGAAGGTTGTTGGGCTCAATTTTTATTTTGATATTCCCAGTTTACAATTTTTGGAAATTAAATATTTGGGAGCTATTGGGCATGCCCAAGTATATATTTCAAAGACACATAATGTAATTTTTAAAATTATTATAGGGTAATACTTTCACACTTCTATCGGTAGCGATCCAAAAGATTAAAAAAAACAACTGAAAAAAAATCATAGATTAATTAAATTATTGCGGCTTACAAGCCTCAACTTAAACAAGCAGGTCGTACAGGGTTAGCTAGATAAAAAACGATAAAATGAGTTAATGTTTCATAGTTTATTAACTTGACACCCGAATTTGGTAAGACTTCCCCCTCTGGTCACCCATTTATTTATTATAAAACCATTTATTTGTATAGCTCCTATTTTAAGATATGTTGATGTATCGAAAAGCAGGTAATTGAAATCAATGATATTTTCTACATCCTAAAATAAATTCAAGCGTTCATTTCAACGATGATTATATACCATTACAACAAGATCAACAATTCAAGATCTTTCATAATTGCAAAAACTTTAAGGTCCCTCACAAAAGTGATACTAAGGGTCTGTTTAGATCCCCCGTCAAGTTTCTTTATCCTGTCACATCGAATGTTTAGACACATGTATGAAGTATTAAATATAAAAAAAACTAATTACATAGATTACGTGTAAATTGCGAGACGAATCTTTTAAGCCCAATTACTCCATGATTTGATAAATACGTGCTACAGTAAACATTTACTAATGACGGATTAATTAGGCTTAATAAATTTATCTCGCGGTTTACAGATGGATTCTGTAATTTGTTTTGTTACTCCCTCCGTCCCACAATATAAAGGATTTTGAGTTTTTGCTTACAATGTTTGACCACTCGTCTTATTCAAATTTTTTTTGCAAGTATAAAAAATAAAAAGTTATGCTTAAAATACCGTAGATAATAAAGTAAGTCACAAATAAAATAAATAATAATTTCAAAAAATTTTGAATAAGACGAGTGGTCAAACGTTGCAAGCAAAAACTCAAAATCCATTGTATTATGGGACAGAGGGAGTATTAGACTAGGTTTAATACTTCAAATATGTGTCCGTATATCCGATGTGATACTGTAAAAAAAAAATTCACCCAAGATGTAAACAAAGCCTAATGATCTTCTCCCTCCATATGGTCAATTTGATCATCACACAGACTGACTGACTGACACATGGTTGGCCCTTGAGCTTTCCAGCAGGCAGCCATGGCAACAAGTTTCAACCCCTCAACCAAATTCCCAAAGGCAGCAACAAATGGGTGGAAGATGTGTGACGCCCTGAACGGCCCAGGGAAAGAAAGAAACACATATTCCGTGGACAGCGAAACCAAGAAACACATAAAAATAAATCGAAGAAAGCAAGGAACACGTGTCACTCTCGAGTCGGGTATCCATCCGCTGAGCAGCGCAGCCAACGAGATGCGAGTGTCTGGGTTTTCTTGGAAACAACCGCATAAATCCGGGTGAAAAAACAAAAAAGAAAACAAACCGTGGACCATATATATCAACCGTTAGTGGGAGTAAAAGAAAGTACTTTAGGAAAAAAAGCGTTAGTAAACTTTTCTAAATGTGGCACGCTATAACTGAGTCAATTTTCTATAAGACATAACTATCACCTGATTAAATGAAACGGTTGATTACTTGTTAGGAATTTTACACTAATAAACATAGAGTACTCTACTCTACTAATGATAGTGTACACAGACCTAAAGATAAAAGGAAAATATAAAGTCCTTATCGGACACTAAACACACTTTTCTAAAGATAAAAAGGAAACTAACAAACTATTCCTAATTAATAGATAAACTGCCATGCCGCATCCTCTTTAAACTCGGTCACTTAGAGATAAGCTTCCTTTAGTAGATTGATTTCCTTAACCGAATATAGCAGGAATTCGACTATTGGTGACTTGATAACTCTCATCGGCTGATTCCGAGATGCTACAGCCGATAATGATTCTAAGCCGATGACGCCTTTGTCGATTATCAAATTTCACTGTTAATAGATAGCTCAGTTTTTTATAAATAGAAAGGAGTATTTGCCGCCTAAATATTTTCTTTGATGATACAGCGTATATTGCTAATCAATCTTGATCGCCATTTACTAATCCAAGATTTCGCTACTACATTAGCACCTTGTTTTGAAAAGGATGCTAAAAGTACTCCATTCTTTTTCTATTCAAAAAAGAAGAAGCTATACAGAGCATAAATATTTCTTTGATCCTACGGTGTACTACTGTGCTATACTATATCAAACCATCGATTGGCATTTACTAATCCAATACTATTTCCTCGCACCATGTTTCGAAAATGATGCCAAAAATAGTCCATTGGGCCTCAACAATTAATAGTACTCCTAAAGCACATTCTCCATTCCATAAAAAAACCACCCTATTACCGAAACGTGACACATTCTAATACCACAAATATATTTATATAGATACAATCCAAGTTTACTTTTTAAAATTTGAGTGGCCTACGGCGGCTACGGTTGCATGCACGTATTTTCTTGGTTCCATAAAAAAAATAACATAGTGTTGAACGTCTATTCAGATTTATAGTATTAAAATATATCATATTTCGTACTAATTTAGTCTTTTATAGAATTGAGAGAGTACTCTATTCATCTAAAAATGGACAATCCTTCGTAAGTTGAGTTTTTCTTTTGGGATGGAGGTGGGTACGTGCATACAACTGGTTCACATACTATAGACACTTATATATGAAACAAATAAGAGGATGATCCTATTATATAATAACAGTGATATTATGGTAGATGATGCTCACCTACCCAAGTTTGAAAACTAAACTTGAATTAAGTGGATATCAAACGGGAATCATTAGCCCAATAAACAAAAAACGAATGCTACTATTACCAACCAAACACTACAGGAAAGAGTAGTACTAGTCCCACTCCCACCAACAACAGTTGAGATCCTCTCCAGTACTGCATGTGCCGTACTGCTCACTAATATGTGGGCCCGAGGGGCTATAGGGCTCACATGTCAGGGAGCCTACTGCATGAGAGGACCTGCATCCCACCAACAACTCGACAGGGTCAAAGCCGAGAAACAGCCACGAGGCCGCCTCCCTCTCCAAAACCGTAGTGACCTCGCCCTGTGTGGCTGTGTCCCCAAACCCGGTAAAAAAAAGGGCCCCCCCGGAAAGTCCTAGACCGAGAAAAGCTGCGACCTCCGTTGCGCGAGAGAGAGAACGAGACGAACGGAAGGAGTTGGGAAAGGGAGACGCGAGATTTGTTGTTACCACTAGGAGGCCATGGTGGTGGTGGTGGTGTGCGTGCGGGGGAATTAGGAGGAGGAGTAGTTGTTGTTGTTTGGTAGAGTCGAGCTTGCGTAGTTCTCGTGGGCTCTCGTTTTTGCGTTGCGTGTGCCTCGCCATCCGCCGCGTCCCTATCCAACCCCCCTCCCCGCATTCCCTCTCCCCCTCGTCGTCGTCGTCTTCCTCCTCCTGCGGCGGCGACGGCACAGATAAGATTTGGTTAGGAGCTGTTTTGTTTGTTGGGTTGAAATCGTCAAGTAACGTGGACGTGGGGGTGAAGCAAAGGAAGGGAGGGGAGATTGGGTTTGGGTGGTGTGAGGATTGATTTGTTTTTTTTTTTTGGGGTTTTCTCTTCTTGATTGATTCGTTCTTGGCGTTGAGGAGAGGCAGCGGTGTTCGTTAGATTGATTTTTCGCTGTCTCGGGAGAATTTCGCTTTCCCGGTTGGGGGATTCCCTCGGTGGGGGGCATCTGATTCGCGATCGGGTTGGATTAGATTCTTTTGGTGCAACGTAATCTGATAAGGGGAAAAAGAAATTTCAAGATTGTGAGGAGGAGGAGGAGGAGGTGATCGAGAGAGGGCATCGATTCTTGGTGGTGCCAGGGGAGCCATCGGAGTCGTGGGGGTGGAGGTGGAGGTGGGGGGAGCCCGATCTCGGGTGGCCGCGGCGGCGATGGCCGACCGGCTGGATCGGTGGCGCGAGCTCCTCCGCGGGGCGGCCGGCTCCGCCGGAATCTGCGACGTGATCGAGAACGCCATCCTCGTCGCCGCCGCCGACGCGCCGCAGGAGCTCCTGCGCCGCCGCGACCGCATCTGCGAGATCCTCTTCACCGCGCCGCGCGCCCCGCCCTGCCACCACGGGTGCGGCAGCGCCGCCACCCCGACCCCGGCCACCCCCGTGGAGGAGGACAAGGGCAGCGTGCGCCGCGTCCCCGAGAAGCAGAGCAAGGTGGACAGCAGCAGCAACGGCGCCCTCGGCGGCGGCGGCGGCCGCCGCGACGACGTCGATGACGACTCTGACTCTGACTCCGACGACGAGCGCCTCCGCCGCGCCGCGGCGAGCAACTACGGTCACAACTACGATGATGACGACGAGGAGGAAGAGGAGGAGCAGGAGGCGGCGCCGGCTGAAGAGGACGAAGAACAAGAGCTGGACCCCGAGGCTGTGGAGCTTGAGGCACTCACCAACGAGATCGACGAGGAGTCACAGGTCGTCGGCGAGGTTCTCCGCATCAAGGACCTCTTCTTGCACAAGGAAGATCATGTATGATGAACTATTCCCAGCTTTCAGTTCTTCCATGAGTAAGAGTTGTGCCATTCCTCAACAGGGACTTAACATTTGATCTCAACTGTGGTTTTCGCAGTCGGATGCTACTTTGTTCGAATCACTGAGGAGGCTGCAGCTGATGCAATTGTCCGTTTCCACGCTGAAGGTACTGTGTTGGATAGCGCATATGAGCTATGCGGAGTGACGCATAGTGGTTCTGTTTGGTTTGCTAATCTCCGATGTTGTTTGTTGTAGGCTACTGAGATTGGGAGGGCTGTTAATGGGCTGCGGAAGCACAACTCGCAGCAAATTCGTCACCTTGTGCGCACTCTCATTGAGTAAGTTCAATATGCTTGCACTAAATTTCATTCTCTAGGGCTGATCTAGCTTTTAATTTAGAGAACTTGCTGAAGCAAATTGATACTCTACTGTACCTATAAGTTTCTGAAAACATGATACGAGTCTACTGATTTAGCTTCTGTATTCTCCAGTCTTTGTACTACTTGAGTGAATTATTTACCTTATTTGTAGTGTGGTTATTAACCAATTTTGGAAACATTGTTGACGTCTTAAAACATTTTTTTTTCAGAGGTTGGAAAATTTTGGTTGATGAGTGGGTCAGCACCACTAATGTTGCCCTTACAGGTAATAAAAGTTATTTTGTTTCATATCGCGTATGAGTCATCAATTTGTAAGTGAATGTTCACCTCTTAACATGTAATGGATCTTTTGATCTGTAGACAACTCCCCGGGCTCTTCAAAAACATCTGTTGTCGATGATGCTGATGATGAAGGGCTTCCTTCTCCACCTCTGGATGAAGGGGCGTTCTTTGCAACCCAGACTACTGCTATTCAACTCTCTGAGGTACTAATTTTTGTTTGTTCCTGGTATCTGGATTGTTTTGGTCCAGAACACAATTCTAACTTTGCATTGTTGTTTTTCTTTCTGCTTCATCTTCCTGACCTAAAGTTCTTTGATGAAATGGATGAAGATGGAAGTAAGTACAACAACTCAAATTACATAGTTTCCCTTTTTTTTCTGTGCACTATAATAATTCAAGTTATACATTTTATGACAGACTTGAGACATAACAATGATGGGAGCCTTGGAAATAAGAGAGAAAATTATGGCAGGAGGCCTACAAGCCATCCAGCTTTGACAAAGCAAGAGCCTCCCCGTAACATGGGAGCTGTTGAAAAAGTTCAATCCAGGAGGCCGGAATTGGCAAGGCAAGAGCCATCAATGAGGCAGGCTAACCCACAAACCCCTCAAAATTCAAGTTTGCAAGTCAAACAGCAGGCCATGCTTCACAAGCAATCTAAGCCCTTGAGTTCTGATTCTGGACCTGGGAGACCATTAAGGGCAGCTCCTCAGCAGAAGCCCTTTGTTGAGATGAAATCTAGACTGGCTCGAGAGCAGGTTGCTGTTGAAAGAAAACCTGCAGCGAGCCATGTGGATGTAAGTATATATGCTATTACTAAGGCCTAATAGTATGATAATCCTCAGAACATCATGACTTAAATATCTGAACTTTGGTTCTAGAAATCGAGGCTTCCTGCACAACCTTCAGCAGGAGTCAAGCTAGAGTCGGCAAAGCCAAAGATCTATGATGGTTTGGAAAGCAATAGTAGGCTGGAAGCAGCAAAGAGGAGGCTCCAGGAGCGCTACCAGGAAGCTGAAAATGGTTCGTCTTTCTTCTTTGTCAACACTCATTACCCTCCTTTTTTAACTTGTACAGCTCAAATATTGAGGGTTGCGCCTAATTTTCTTACTGCTCCTTCGACGCAGCAAAAAGGCAGCGCACCATACAAGTAATGGAGCTGGGCGACATACCAAAGCCTAAGCATCAAAATAGACAACCTATGATGAAGTCAAGGAATCACATTAGAAGTTGGGCAAATGGTCGGCGATAATTCTCCCGTGATTCTTTTTTCCCTCATCTGATGAATCATTACCATGCCTGGCTGGTCGGAGCGCATATGCATGCTGACTCGAAACACCTGAACTTAGTTGCCAGGGCTTAGAACAGAACTTTTTTGAACATATAAACACCTCCAATGGGTGGTTTCTCTTTGAAGACGCAAGAGCTGCTCCGGATGCAAATCCAATAAGTAACACCTCTTGCATCCGGAAGAGTTTAGTCATGTCTGGTTATTAGGAGATTGGGCATGTAGTTCGACCTGTACCGGCTGGTTACTTTCTTTCTTTTTCTTCAAAGGAAGCTGTAGATACCAGATAGAATAATCGTCAATATTCTCGTACATTCTATCTGCCCTCAACATTTTACATGATTCAGTGAAACACTCATGGCTCACACTAGACTTTTCCCTTGCAACAACTGTGGAACAAATACGCTTCTGGTGAACTGAGCTAAGGTCAGCAACACCTTCCAGTGATGGCAGTAGTGTACATACATCACTACATTTGCCAGACTGCCAAATTGATCAGCTGCTAGACGTTCAACATGTTGAAACGCTTCACTGTCAAGGCGTGAATTCAGAGTACGTTTCAATGAGAGATTTTGTTTGGCTATTGAAAAAGAGGATTGGAACGAGGGAGAAAGCGATTGGGAGATATGCGTGTGGGCGCTGAGTGGATTTGGGAGAGAGCGTGGATTCCACCGGGCGGAGTGGTTGCCCGGCCATTAGCATGAACAGCCACCCAAAACGGACACGGCCCCACACCACCCCACCCCCCCCCCCCCCCCCCCGCCCAACTGAATCCCTCTTGCCTCGTTATCCATCGCTCCAAAAATTCCATGAGAAGTTCTTCATATTTATACGGTGTGTAATCTGCCACAAGATGAATGCTGAAGAAATCACCGTTGGTTCCTCGTTAAGAATCTTCACAAAATTTGATCACAAACTGGCTGACCGGATAAGATAGTTATTACTATGTAATATGACACGAAGTGATTCTGCAACCGTAGATGTGTACCACGTGGAGTTGAGGCCGACAAGTAGATCATGTCGTTGCTCAGCACATGTAGAAAAACCACTGGATTTGCGGGGTAACCGGAGCGCAACGCAAAACGCAATGCCACATTGCTACTCTCCTCTCTATCTGCTGCATCTCTCATCACGGTTCGATCGGTTTCGATTCCTTTGGATGCCCACTCGCATGTGCGTGTTGTGGTTGGGAGAGCCCCTTTCTTTGACTGGTTCCTCCCTATAGACAGACAATATGCGTCACACAAGTCCTCTCCTACCCACCTTCCACCTCAGTCTCTCCCCCCCCCCCCCCCCACCCACCATTCTTAATTAACGTAAAGCTAATGGGTAAACAAATCGATTTTTTGAGGTGATAATGGCTAAACAAATCAAATGGTGGCATGTACTTTTTGTGATTCGTCGATCACAAAACTACAGACTCAACACATACTGTAAAATGTTATGGATTTAGTACTAAAATTATTGCAGATGTCCTCGTGTTTTTATTCGTTTAGTAATTGGTTACAGCTTCTTTAAAACTAAAACTAAGGGCATAATAAATTTCATGATTAAGAAAACATTGACTACACGCGCGACTCTACGGTGGTGCCCTGAACAAAACCTGGTCCTAGTTTGCGAGATCTAATTCTAAAAAACCTGATAATTACTAGAAATTATGTTTGCATCTTCAGATCAGCTGGCTAGTTGTTGGTGAAACAGGACATGAATGTGATGCGGTGCCGTGATGTCATTTATGAGTAGGAGTGCTAGTAGTACTATAGCTGTAGCTTTGTTCCGTCTGTTGGAGTGGCTCTGTGACAGTGGAAGGTCGAGTTTGTTATGATTTGGATCTTGGTTGCCCCCAGTATTGAATAGAGCTGCTTCTGGAATGTCAACATTCGCGGTGGTTTAATTCTCCAACTTGGAACAAAACTACCTTAAATTTACTTTCAAACTTGATTAATATAACAACTCAAGAGTTTTACCAAACGTAATGAACATTTTGGCAAAATTCAGTTGACTCCTCGATCGATCCATGGCACCTTGATCCAAGATTTGAAATCTAGCTTGAGTGTGTTCCAAGCTGTGAAGTTAGTTTGGGTTCAACGTTCGGCGAACGTGGTAGCACATAGGTTAGCGAAGAAAGGTCTTTTCTGCTAGTTGTTTCACAACCTGGGTTTTGGTTCCTCCAGGTTTTATTGTCTTGATGAAAATTGTAATAACGTTTTTTTAGGTGAATATAGTGCTACCAAGGTTTACCCTAAAATAAACTACAAAACTCTCAAAAGAGATAAACACATGAATATTCTAAGAAGTAGCTAATCAGAATCCGAAGAAATTTATTATCTAGGGATCATGTTGACAATAAGTGTTATGTTGACAATAAGTGTTACTTCATCCATCTTAAAATATGGTGACCTCGCACTAAATTAAACACAACAAGGTCATTGTATTTTTGGGCTAGAGGGAGTAAAATATTAACGGGAATATAGGGTTTGTTCAGTGCCGAAAATAACCCTATTAAATTTTGGCGCACGTTACTAAAATTTGGCTATGTTGAATGTGTTTAGTTTGTAGTCTTACTGAAAATTGGTATATTATTTGTATGAGAAAAAACTTCAAAAATTCCAATTTTTAAAAAGGAAAAATACCAAATTTTGTTAGAGTGGCAATGACAAGAGTATGTTTACATTGTTACCCTACCAAGATTGGTAGAGTTAAAAGTGATAGCAAAGTAAATAAGTCCATAGATATTTACGCAGTGTTTAGATCTAGGGGTGAAAACTTTTGCCATGTCACATCGGATATACGGACACACATTTGAAGTATTAAACGTAGACTAATAACAAAACACATTACAAATTCTGCGTGTAAACTGCGAGACGAATTTATTAAGCGTAATTAATCCATCATTAGTAAATGATTACTTTAGCATCACATTGTCAGATCATAGAGCAATCTGGTTTAAAAGATTCGTCTCGCAATTTACACGCAATCTGTGTAATTAGTTTTTCTTTACCTATATTTAATACTCATGCATGTGTCCAAATATTTAATGTGACAAGATAAAAAATTTTGCGGGGTCTAAACAGGCCCTTAAGAAAGTTGTTACAGTTGGTTGAAATTCCTTTAAATAAGGCCAAATACAGGTGTAAAAAATCCGTAAGCTCCAAACTTGCACCATACTTTGAGCTGGGCCAATCTGTAGAATTGTACTCGTGGCAGTGACCAAACTGACTGATACCTTTCCATGCAGAACAACAACCAACTGTATCTGTACACGGACCACAGGATGACAGGACCAGACCTCACCAGACCAGCCCCATGGCCCTGTGATCCACGAGTGGACCCCACCTGTCATTGTCTAGCGCTGACGAAAAAAAGAAAAAAAAAAGCTACTCCCACCTCCTGGCCGGTCGGCCGTGCAGGTGGCCGAGTGGACGGCCGCCGGGGCCGGTGGTCCACTCACCGGCGCTCCGGTCACGGCAGCCACTGGCGACGACGGCGACGTCGATCTCGAGCCAAGTGGGAACGCGGCGAGGGGGTTTGCGGCTAGGCGAGAGAGAGCTAGCTCCCATTGATGACGCGTCATCCCAACCATCGCTGTTAGTGCGCTGCCGGTGGTCAAGCTCAGCTGCTCAGGCTCAGCGTGTGCCGCCACTTGAATTTGTGATTTGCTTTGCTATCCTGTTTAGACGTGACTAAAACACTTTTAAGTCCCTGTCACATTGGATATTCGAACACTAATTATAAATATTAAACGTAGACTATTAGTAAAATCCATCTATAATCTTAGACTAATTCGCGAGACGAATCTATTGAGCCTAATTAATATATGATTAGTCTATGTGATGCTACAGTAAACATTCTCTAATTATGGATTAATTAGGCTTAAAAAATTTATCTCGCGAATTATCTTTTATTTATGTAATTAGTTTTGTAAGTAGTCTATATTTAATACTCTAAATTCGTGTCTAAATATAGGGACTAAAGTTAAGTCCCTAGATCCAAACACCACGGCGGCTTTGTTCATGCGCCTCTTTTTTTTCATTGTCTCTTTTCTGTTCTTTTCTTTTCTTTTCTTTTCTTGTTTTGATCGATCGCCGGTCGTTTTCTCGGTTGGTGGATTATACAAGTCGCCACTGCCCATTAGAGATGATGATGATGATGATGATCAGGATCATGCCGATGGCGTTGCTCGAGGAGAAAAATCATGCCAGATGAGATGCTGATCGTTAGGTTTCGTCTGGGACTGGGGTTCTGAATCTACTTAGTTACCTGTATTAACTGAAAAACTTAATTTACCTGTATTCTTGCCCAGGCAAAATGAGCTCTGGATATCAACCCATGTTCCCGTTCACCGGCTTGACCAATGGCAAATCAGTGTGATTTGTCATTATCAGATGCCCTAAAATTACCTCTCTCTCTCTCTCTCTCTCTCTCTTTTTCAATTAACTGCATTTCACTGTAGGAAAAAAAAAGGTTGGTCTAATTTATGAAGAAAACACGAGACTAAAACATTACAACCACACAATTAGTTAGAGGAGAACCAATGAAAAGGCCTAAAATTAAAGTTAAAGTCTCTTCTTGTTGGGTCGGCACAGGCCGGTGATGACTGAAGACCAAGAAAGCTAGCTTGAGAGTAAAAAACATGTCTCATGTGACAAGAGCAATAACCCAATGTGACTGTCAAAGTCACACCTCGCAATTATCTACAGCTCTGAAAATGACGTTTTTTTATCGGGAGGGACTAGCATCATGCAGCCAAGCTTGTATTCAAACAAATCCGAAAGAAAGTCATAGCACGATGGCTGCAAAGTTGAATACTTTCGTAGACGCACTGCAATGCTGCATGACCGCATCCATCCATCCATCCATCCATCCTGGTGCTGCAGAGAAAGTGAAGAATCATTCCACCAACTATAAAAACCGTGATGAAAAGAATTAACTACTCCTACAAGACAGTACAGTAGAATACTCCTAGCTACTTCCTTTGCTTTATATTACAAGTCGTTTTGACTTTTTAAAGTTTGATCAAGTTTATAGAAAAAATTTAATAACATTTTTAAATAGAAAAATTAAAACTAACATTTAGTATATTTTAATATTTTATATACTTGGTTAATTTTAAAGGAGCTTGTTTAGGGAAAAAAATCAAAATGATTTGTAGTATAAAACGGTGGGAGCAGTACGTACATACGGCTTTGGTGATCGATACTGGAGGGGGCCTTTAGCTTGTAGATGCGCAGAAGATGGCGGCAGCAAAGCATCCATAATTCAGGTTCCTGGGTCCCCTCCAATCTTAGCTAGTGGCGATAATTGTTTGGACGGAGGAGAGCGAGGTTGTTGGCCTCTTTAATCTTTATCTGCCCTTCTGCTGCAGTTTCT